TGAAAGTTTAAAGCCAGTCTGGGCTACATAGTGAGCTCAAGGACAGCCTGAACTACATAGCAAGACCATGTCTCAAAAAAAAGAAGGAAGAAAAAAAAGGGTAAGAATGTTATGAAGAGATGGTCTCATGTTTGAGACCATAGGATCCTTGTTTTCTGTTCATTTTAGAAAGACAGAGTGAGCACCCATAAATGGTAAAGGGGTTGTCACTGGTCTCCAGCATCTGCAGAACCTAAACCCACACATAGCCGAGCAGAATGGAGGACTTTAGAACAATATTCTATTTTCTTGTGGGAGTGAGGTGAGATGGGGTTGGGGGAAGGCATCAAGTCAAATGGAGCTCTGGCAGCTGGCAGTTCTTCTAATTTGAATGTAGAAATACTGTTGAGGAAACACACAAGGTCTTCATCCCAGACCTAGCCCTTGTGAGAAGCTCAACTCTGCGCCTAAAAGCTGACAGCCCTTCTTTGGTGATTTGATTCCTTTTGGATCTCAGTCTTTTCCTCCTTCCTTTGGTCTCATTCCTTCTCACTGTGCCCAGCATGTGGCTTTTAGAAGAAAAACAGCCCTAAGAGGCAGCCCCAGGATGCTCCAGGATGACTGGCTGGAGGCAGCCAGGAGCCCAGGGCTCTGGACCACACTGCTCAGAACCACGCCCAGGCCTCATGAAGCCAGCCCAGGTTCTCCCCTTCTGGAAAGATGGAGGAAAATGCAACTTTCCCCATAGCTGCAGGCACAGCTCCTCTCCATGGCGCACTCTTCTACCAAGATCTAGGCTTGGTCAGCTCTCCTCGAAGCTACCTACACGGTGGCATTTGAAAGGAAACAATGGCTCTGGGTTTTTGTTTTTTTTTTAAGGCTCATTTGTCCTCATTTGGACCTGTAATCCCTGATGCTGGGGAGGCTGAGGCAGGAGGATTCCAAGTTCCAGATCAGCCTGGGCATCTTAGCAAGACACTGTCTTAAATTAAAGTATAAAAAGAACTGGAGCTGTAGCTCAGTGGTACAGCACCCGCGGGTTTAATCCCCAGTACTGGATGGAGGGATACATACATATATACATACATAGGGCTAATGTGTTTCCTCTTTCTATAATGACACCCTGTGGTCCTTTTGACCCAACTGGCACAGCCACTCCCTTATCACTGATTTCCCAAGGACAAGAGTGCTACAAACGAGGGGTTGGTTTGTTTTCTGCAGTATGATCTTGGTAACCTTGGCCTATGTCTGCTCACTCAAAACAAAGTAATCAACAAAACCACTTACAACTGGATAGACTCAAGTACAAGTTTACAGCTCCTCTCATGGGGGCGTGGCTTTGAGTCTAAGTCCTCTTCTTACTAATGGAGGTTATTGCTTATTGATTTCTGCTCTGCTGAAAGACCACAGGAAGATGACAGTAGGACCTGCTTCATTGCCTCAGAGGCAGAGCTGGCTTCTTGGAAACTCAACCTGGGTAGTCACAAGGGCCCTGAGCTCTAGAAAGGCCCCATGCTTAGTTTAATGCTGCCACAGCTATCTTCAGATCCTTAATAATTTTTGAGCAGCAGATCTCACAATTTCATTTTGCCCTAGAACTTGCAAATTCTGTGGCCAAACCTGCTCAGGCAATTGGGCACTTTACATGGAGCCTCACCTAACTGCTCAGCTCAGGGTCTGTGAGGAGAAGAGGTCCCTGCCGTCCCTGTCTCATGGGCACCTGTGTGCTCAAAGGGAGTCTGGGGTGGGGAGGCAGGCAAGGCAGAGGAGAGGACAGGGGGCCTGGGTCCCGGACAAAACAGAATCCATACAGGCTCTGGCAAGAAGAGCCCTGGTCCAGGTTGGGGAGCTGGTTCCCAGCTTCCTCCTTTCCATGCTGGGTCACATGGGACCCAGTCCCAGTGCTCTTCCTGATGACCACACTGGAGACTGACACTCCTTCCAGTAGCGCAGCTTCCTCTGGGTTGGGTGGAGCGTGTGCAGTGGCTGCATCACTGTGAGTTCAAATCCCCTCCTTCAGCGCTGAGCCCTGGCAGGAGAGCCACTCCCAGCCAGCTTCCCCAGCTGAGAAGCAGCAGCTCCTTCCTAGGATCTGTTGGAGGATGGGACCAGAAAGTGTGGAAGTGGAGCACCCCAGCAGAGCCTCGGGTGCTGGCTGGGGTGATGGGGACACTGCGGGTAGGGTCAGGCCCACAGGTGGGTCCCCAAAAATAGCAGACAAAGATCTCCGAATAAGTGAGAAGGGGAAGGCAGGGGAGCAGGGAAGGAGGCTGTGTGTGTGTGTGTGTGTGTGTGTGTGTGTGTGTGCGCGCGCACACGCGTGCAGGCATGCATGCGATCACTCACACACTCACACAGACACACTGCCCATTCTGCTCTACACCCTAAGCAGGAAGAGTGGGACTGGCTCTTCACTGCCGTTTTTATCTGTCAAAAGAGAGCCTGGGACGGAGTCTCAGACGCTTATCCAGGCTACCGACATTAGCGCTCTGGAAGGAAAGAAGGGGAAAGGGAAGGTGGGAGGGCTGACTAACAAAAGGATGAATCAATAAACACCAGTCAGTTTGCTCCCCTCCCAACCCTTTTCCTCCAGGCCAAGAGGTTTCCTGCACTTTCTTTGGGGTCCTGTTCTCTGGCGGGAGAGACCAGTGCTCTTCTGTTCTCTCCGGGATCTTTGTAGGTAGCCTTCCTTTGGGGGAATTATGCACTGAGAGGAGGTAGCAGTGACGGGGTGGGGGTGGGGTTTGGGAGAAAGAATGGGAGATTTCTCTGCTCCTTCCATCTCGTGGGAGGGGCCGGAGCCGGTGCTTGCTGTGTGAAGCAAGGCAGAGCTGAGGAACTCAAGCTGCTGCTCCCAGTAAGGACTCAGGATGGACGCGCTGAGGCCAGGAGAGGAGGTACCCAGGTGTCCTGTGTGCTGTGGCCTGGGGTGTCCCCCAGAGGGGATGCTCGGATCCACCAGGAGGCAGAGAACGAGGGAAGGGTCACATCAAAGGCGCCCTGGGACTTCGAGGCAGGGATGATCTTCCCCCCTACCCTAGCACTGGGCCCCTAGGGGTGGCAGTGACCAGAGATCCATGAGGAGGGAACTGGGAACTGCTTTTATAGAAAGCGATGGGGGTGAATGGCGGACCACGCCCTGTGGATCTTCAGTGGCACAGTGAAAAAAGGAAGAAGGGCCCGGTGGCAGTCACTTCCCCTCTTGCCTGTTCCCTCAAGACTAAGTGGATCTGACACTGCCCACTGCAAGATGTGGCAGGAGAGACCTAGAGCATGAGGCAGAACAAATATTAGTTCCTGACCTGACTCCCTGGCACCCCAGGAAAAGCCACCCTCTTCATGAGCTCTGCACCATCTCACAGGACTGGATTCTCTGGCAAGGAAAGAGCTTCAGAAGCAAAGGAGGCATAAAGGTGCCAACTCCTGGCCACCAGAGCACCTCACATACTGATTCCCTTGCTCCTGGTGGAGTGGGCAGGATCTGAGGGATGGTGGGAGCCAGGCCTGGCCCAGAGGCACCAGAGCAGGCAGGAGCCCAGCCAAGCCAGAAACACCTCATGCTCCCCACAGGAGTGTACACAGCAGTGTTCTCTAATCCAGAGCTGCACCCACATCCACAGGATACCAAAAACACAGAGCACCGCACGGTACAGCACTTGCACCCGGACCCAGGCTGGCACAGCGCACAGGGAAGGTGCCTGGGGCAGAGACAGCCACAGTGATAAGGATCGAAGTTAACAGGCATTGAGGTATTATCCTAAGCCTTGTTCTGGAATATTTTAGTTGATTCTTATGCAGTAGAAACAGCTATGAGAAAACTCGGGGAAGAACTAGAAGGAGATGCCGAGGTTACACCAGTGCCCTGGCGCACGTACTGGAAGGGACGCCCTCCCCTTACATTCCTTCAAACGCAGCACCCTGCCTGCCCTTGACTGCCGGCGCACTCTCCCGGTGAGCACTGTGGGCCAAGCAGGTAAAAAAGGGCCTTGGGCAAAGCAATTGCAGACTGTGAAGAGATTGGGGCCAGAGGAAAAAAATAGAAGCTTCAGAGCAGACGGCGGTGGCCCTCAGCCCGCGGGATCGCCCGCCGGCCCCGCTCCTCTCCGGCGGCCTGGGCGCGGAGCTCAGGGCGGCGCCAGGCTCTCGGGCACAGGGACCCAGGGACCCAGGCAGGAGGACACCGAGTCCTCCACCTTGCAGTGGGAAACAGCCGCAGGCACTGAGCGGGTAGATACGGTTTATAACGGGTGGGTTATAACCCTTCCCAACAAAACCCACAGCGGGTTTTTGTTTTCGAGGGAGAACACGCAAGGCCTCATTTCTAAGGACCGAGGAACCACTGCGCAGACTGTAAATCAACCTGTGCCACGTTCGTTTCTGGGGATCCGCTCTGCGCTCGTTTGTGAAATGAAACAGCAGATTTGTGAAAACCGTTTATTCTGGACGGGGACCCACAGTGGACCCTAGTAGGGTTCTGGAAGGTGCTGTGGGGTAAGATGGGGAGTCGGTACATATTCAAAACGAAGACAACACAGGACGAACAAGGAGGAACAGGAGGAGGAAAAAGTGCAGAGGAGAGGGGAGCCCCAGCCCCGGGAGTGTAGGACCTGTCCCTTAGGAGCTGGCTCTGCGTCCCGGGCCACCTACCTCCAGCTCCAGGCTTCCTAGGGCGGGGCGGCGGGGCACCCTGGACAGAGTCCATCCAGACCCGGTGGTCAGCCCTACCTCCCTCTAGCTCGGGTTTTGAGGACAAAAGCTAACGACAGGGGAAGGGTGCCCGGCTGGACCAGGAGGGCCACGTCCAGCGAATCCCTTTCCCCACTCTCGCGTTCCGAGTGGGGATTTTTAAATTTATGAGACCAGAGATTTAAAGCAGAGTGCAGGGCACCCACCCAGCCACCGTTCCCACCCCAAGTCCCGAGGATGCTTAACTCCGGGCCCCGCCTGCCAGGGGTCCGTGTAGATTTAGGGGGCGGGGCTGCGTTCCATTGTTCACGCCCAGCCAATCAGGACTCGCTCACTTCAGGCGAGCCAATCCTGCTGCACCCCCGCCTCTCCCACCCCGCCCATCCGGGGGTCCCCCCCGTCCCCGCCCCGGCCGGGGGCCGTGCGTGCTGACGTCACGCGCGTGCGGGCCGGTGCGGACTTGCCTCCCGGCTGGCCGGGAGTCAGTGCGCGGGAGCTGAGCTGAGCGACCCTAGTCCTCGGCCCGTAAACGCCGCTCGCCTCGCTCTGCATGGTGGATCTGCTTCTCCAGTGTCCTTTCCCGGGTGCTATGGGGGACCCCTCCAAGAGTAAGTCGTCTACGTGCGGGGCAGGGGGTGCGTGATGCGCAGCATCCCGAATGCAGAAGCATGGTCGACGGATCCTACAAGTGGCTTCCGTCGGACACCGGGGAGGAAACCCCACGAACTCGTCTCTCCGCGGGCCGCTGCTCCTTGGGGTCCAGATTTACGTTGGATTGGGCTGGGGTTCTGCTTCTTCTTGCTTGGAGGCAGTTGGGTCTGGCTTAGGGTGCGGGTTTTGTTTGTTGGTGTTTTGGTTTTAAAGCTGGAGAGATTTCTCTGGCGTGGTCTGGGATGTTTGGATCGCGGGTGTTTGTGACGATGCGCGTGACTGTAGTCTTCTCTGTACCCCGCGTCCGGCTTGCGTGGTCGCAGACATAGAGGCCCCTCGCTGACCTCCGCGGTTTGGAGACGAGGCCTTTATTGAGCCCCGATCTGGGTTTTCGTTCTGGACAACCCGGGTCCTCGGAAAGCTCCCCTTTCCCTTTTGTTGCGATGCTGGGCGAGGGAGAATTGCAAGCGACAGCGCCGGGCTTCGGTCCTGGGACTAACCTGGCGCCTTGCGCTCCTCGCAGAGAAGCCCGGGACGGCTATGTGCGTGGGCTGCGGGAGTCAAATCCACGACCAGTTCATCCTGCGCGTGTCACCTGATCTCGAGTGGCATGCTGCCTGCCTCAAGTGTGCTGAGTGCAGCCAGTACCTGGACGAGACGTGCACGTGCTTCGTGCGAGACGGGAAGACCTACTGCAAGCGGGACTATGCGCGGTGAGCCGGGCGGGTGGAGGGAGGCCCGCGCTGCAGCCCCGCCACGGGGGTGGGGACCAGGTCACGCTCACCCGCGCCCGCCCGTCCACAGGCTCTTCGGCATCAAGTGCGCCAAGTGCCAGGTGGGCTTCAGCAGCAGCGACCTGGTGATGCGCGCACGCGATAGTGTGTTCCACGTGGAATGCTTCCGCTGCGCAGTGTGCAGCCGCCAGCTGCTGCCTGGGGATGAGTTCTCACTGCGGGAGCACGAGCTGCTGTGCCGCGCCGACCACGGGCTCCTGCTCGAGCGCGCTGCGGCCGGTAGCCCGCGCAGCCCCGGCCCGATCCCTGGAGCGCGCGCCCTGCACCTGCCAGGTGAGCCAGGCAGGCCGAACGAGAGAGCTGGGTGCGCGGGTCTCGCTCCGGCACCGTGCTTTCCACGCGGATGCGGGAGCTGCCCGTCGCTTCCCGCAGTGACTCGCGTGGGTGTGGGAGTCGCCGGGGTGCAGGGGCTGTGGGGGACCCGGTGCCAGAGCAGCAGATGGATGGCAACCGGGAGTCTTGAGTGCGACCTGCCCCGGGGTCCCTGCGAGTCGGTAACCCCGCTCCCACCCGGGAACTCCAAGGCCATCGCCACCGGCAGAGGGGCGTTTTCGGTCCGGTGAAGTTGGGATCCCGAGTCCAAGCTTTCTCTTCCCGGGACGCGGTGTCCCCGCGGGAGTCGCCCAGAGATGGTGGAGTAGATAGAGCCCGGCAGGCAGAGCACAGGGACGGAGACCTCGGCCCAGGTGGCAGATTCGCAGGTCAGGTTGAATCGCTCCGGGTCTTCCCTGTGGGTCAAGGAAACCTGGCCTCACGAGTTGCTTGTAGAAATTATTCAGACCCTGAAAAGCCTAAAAGAGACAGATCGAGCTGGTGCAGACCAGGCCAAGGTTGGAGCCGGCACCGAGTGCAGCCGGCCTCAGACCCCGGAGGCTCCTGTGCTGTTTCCGGGTTGACAGAGGACAACAGGAGCCCCGAGGGAGGAGACCCGGCTGTGCCCGGCCGGGCTGGCGGGAAGGAGCCGACCTAGGGCTCCGGAAAGGCCTGTCCTGGAACGCGGAGCCGAGCGCGGGCAGCGGCCTTGCAGGCCCCGGCCCCTGGACGAGGCCTCCATCCCGGGTCTCACGGCCTGTGGTTCCCTCAGATTTTCTGCCGCTTTCTGCCTGGTCCTCGGAAGCCCCGACTTCTTCCAGGGGCTTTGCGGGCCGGGAGGGCGAGCCGCCCGGGCGGGTCCCGCGGCGGGAGGAGGTGCGGCCGGGAGCGGGGAGGGGACGACAACAACGCAGGCTCCGGGAACGCGAAGGAAAGAGAACGAATAAAGGGGAACGAAGCCGGGCGCAGGTCCCGGGACGCTCACTGGGCCCCACTGCCCCCTTCCCCGCCCTCCCCACTCGCAGATCCCGCGTCTGGCCGGCAGCCCGCGCTGCGCCCGCACGTGCATAAGCAGGCGGAGAAAACGACGCGGGTGCGGACCGTGCTGAACGAGAAGCAGCTGCACACGCTGCGGACCTGCTACGCCGCCAACCCGCGGCCCGACGCGCTCATGAAGGAGCAGCTGGTGGAGATGACCGGGTTGAGCCCGCGCGTCATCCGCGTCTGGTTCCAGAACAAGCGCTGCAAGGACAAGAAGAAGTCGATCCTCATGAAGCAGCTGCAGCAGCAGCAGCACAACGACAAGACGGTGAGGGCCGGTCTGAGCATCGCGCTCCTTCCCCGGGGAGGTCGGGTTCTGCATCCCCAGGGCAAGGTCCCGGGCAAGTGAGCAAGGCTTCCCTGGGCCCCAGGGGCCGTAAGAACGCGGCCGAGGCGGCCCCGGATCAGGAGCCCAAGTGTCCTGGCCGCGTGGCATGACTGGAATCGGGCTGCGTCTCCCTGCGCGTGGCTTAGTGCGAAGGAGTGGCCTCGCGCTCTGTGTAGGCCTCGCCGCTCTTTCAGCCTGCAGTCCTGCAGGTTTAGGGACCTTGTCGGGGAAGGGGGCCCTTTCGCATACCCCTCCCCATGCGCAGTTCAGGTCGCGCTCAGGGCTGGGGTCCAAGCCTCCAGGCGCAGAAAAGGCTTCACCGAGTCCTCTCCCGCAGAGCCTCCAGGGCCTGACCGGGACGCCGCTGGTGGCCGGTAGCCCCATCCGACACGACAGCGCCGTGCAGGGCAGCGCCGTGGAGGTGCAGACGTTCCAGCCTCCCTGGAAGGCGCTCAGCGAGTTCGCGCTGCAGAGTGACCTGGACCAGCCGGCCTTCCAGCAGCTGGTGAGGACCGGGTGGGGACCCGCCTCTGCGAAGCCCGGAGAGAAGGGGGGGTGATCGCGGTGGGGGAAGGGATGGGTGCCCCGGTGAACTCTCAGGGCCGCGGTCTCCGGGGATTTGACCTGAACTCTGCGGCAGGGAGGTGCGGAGGAGGGTGCCGGGCCGGGCCAGGCCTGTCCTTACTGCCCTCACGCATCTCCTACCGCCCAGGTCTCCTTCTCCGAGTCTGGCTCCCTGGGCAACTCCTCCGGCAGCGACGTGACCTCCCTGTCCTCGCAGCTCCCGGACACCCCCAACAGTATGGTGCCGAGCCCCGTGGAGACGTGAGCGGACCCCCGCCGGACCTCGCATGCACCCCGCATGAGACCCAGCTCAGGCCATGCCAGCTCGAGTCCTGTCTCCGTCATCATTGAGAGCGGACCGAGGGGAAAACCCCACCGTCAGGCCTGCGAAGCGCCAGGACATTGCCTGCCTGCAGCCAGTCGGAGACCCCGCTCCCAGGACTTTTTATTTTTTCCAAAACCAGAACCTGGGATCCACCAGGGTTAGCGCTGCCCCTCCCTTCCCGTGCTCCTCGAGGCCCCGCCCACATGCGGACCGCTTGGAGAACAGCGGTCCCTGAGGTCCCAGAGGAGCAGACACGTGGCCCCACGCGCATGATTGCTGGAAAAGTAGGACTGGACTTTCCTTACACGCGTGTTAAATTATCAGTCGACGGAGGACAGAGTGTGAGCCTTTGCCGAACAAACGTAAGTTATTGTTATTTATTGTGAGAACAACCAGTTCATAGTGGACGAATATTTTGATCTTAATAAAAAATGATAACCTGATACCAGGCTGCTCCTGTGTGCTGTTGGCCCAGTGAATGGCTGGACAAAAGCGGCTCAAGGGTTCTACTTGTTGCAATGAAATTTAGTCCGGGCCTCGTTGTGCTCTGCCAGCCATGTGCTCTCGTGTGCGCTGGAGGGGGTGGGCCTGGCAGGGATTGGTTGCTGTGCGGGGCGGGCTCGAGGACGATTGGTCGCCGCTAGGGGAGAGGCCGAGTGGAGGGGTGCGCCTTGCTGTGCACAGCCCGGCCCCTTCCGGAGGGAATCCCGCTTGGGCATAGCTTCCTGCTTGAGTGTTCTGGTGCAGCGCGCTGGAGGCCTGCGGGCGGGTGTGGCGACGCGTTTTGGAGGGAAACCCATAGCACGCGCGTGGCGGCAGCGCGACGAACTCCGGTCTGTCTTAGGGCTCGCGAGGCCGAGTCTTGGTCTGGCCCTTGAGATCCTGCGCGGTATCCCGGTCGGTCCTGCGCGGTGCATCGTCACTAACCCCCCTCCCTGTCTAGACGGCGGGCAGGCAGCGCCTTATCTCCCGGCATCACCTGCAGGAGACACCGGCCCGGCCCGGCCGCCGGGAAGGAGCGCCCCAGAGCCAGCCTGGCGTGTCCTCGGTTTATTTTCTTTCCAGACCCGGAGCGGAGGGGGCAGGGATGGCCCCTGGATACCCGTGTCCAGGTCACTCGGTGTGACATTTCAAACCCTGCGACTTGTTTTCTTGAAAACTGGCTTTAGTGATCGCAGGAAATAACCGGGAGATACCGAATCTCTAGCAGGCCCCGGGCAAGCACAAAAAACCAGAAGGCTCAGGTTTTACCCTTTGCAAATATTTAACCCTTTGAAGCCGGGTCGGTCTTTTCCCCAAAGCAGTCCTGGCGGGCGCAGGGAGTCCCCAGCCTGGCCACCGCCCCGCAAGAGTCCTTGGCATTGCCTTTCCACTTCCTTGTCCCTGGAACTAAACGACCCACAGTGCATCTTTCTTCCGGATTTGTCTTAAAAGAGGGCACCGGCCAGACCAGGTGGGGGACAGTTGTCACCTTAGCTCAGGTAGCGGTGGTAAGGAAAAATGTGCCCATCGCTGGGTGCAGAAATGGGCGCCTTCTGTCAGAGCCAGGCTGCGGAAGGTGGGAACCACTGGGGTCCCAGGCTCGGCTTTGGGCAGGATTGAGTCACACAGCCGCTTCTACCCCGACCGCAAATAGAATGGAAGAATTACTGGCAGTCAGTAGAAGATGGTGAGATGGTGGGAAGAAGTGGGAATTGAGTCACTTTTTTTTTTTTTTTTTTTTACTTCCTGAATGTCAAGGTGATGCTAGCACAACTATTAAAGGGAACAGTCTCCTCCTTCAGGACTTAGGAAATGGTGCCGCAAACTTAAAAAGATAAGGGAAAAGATATGCTGGGTTAATGAGGACCAGCTTTACCTCTCAAGTGCCCAGAAACGGTTTTAATAACCAAGGCTGGGTTCTTTGAGGCTTCGTTCCTTTAACTTAGACCATTCTCTCTGAAACAGACATACAAATTTCTCTTTTTACCTTCTGGTTAGCTATTGGATAAGAGACTAAACTTCTAATTAAGCTTGCTTTTAGGGAACTTTTGATTTATCCATATTGGGGTTTCTCAACAAGCAGGTTCTTGAATAAAGAATTTCATTAACCGTTGTTAATGACTTCTGAATTTTTGCTTTTGAGGAGGTGCAGTATTTCAAAGCTATGAATGGAAACATCTACCTAATTACAGTGATCGTTTCCCTCATCATCCATAGATCAAAAACCTAATTCCTCTTTTCGATTATTTCCTGTATCTTGCCTGTTACTGTGGCAAACATTCCAGAGCGTTTCTCCTATTAAGAAGCCCTTATCTGCTGTCTGTGTTACTGTATCAGACACCTCAGCCTTTTCCCCAGTACTTGCCAGCCACTCAAGGGTGGGCATCGTTTTCTATATGGGTTTCCCAGGAAAGGATTTAGCTCTGAAGCCTGATCACAGCAGTCCCGGTGAGGTGTCAGATGTACGGTTGGTTAGTTACATTAATAAATACCAGTTTTACTGCTTTCCAGGTCATCTTTAAACATTTTCCGTAATACAGTAGGGATTTCCCTGTAAATTAAATTACCTGTAACAATTACAAGTGTTGTATTTTATGCTAACTGAACTTTTAACATGAGATACCCAGTTGGTTAATAAAATCGCAATTCAAGAAAAGGGGGGGGGAGATCCGAGTGAATTATTTAGCTTCAGAATAAGATGTTTCTGAGCAGAGTTATCTAATAATTTGGATAGCTCTATTGAGGCAGAAAAGGAATTCCCGGAGATGGAAAAGTTTATGGCTACTATACCACACAATTTAATATTCACGAAAAGACTGCATCATTCTGGGAAATCCAGAGTCCCTATGGCAGTATTCCCAATGAACTTTAATATTTAATGGATATGAAACAGAAATCAGCCTTTTAGTTTTGAATATGGAATAACTTAAAGCTCAATTTTTATCGGAGCCGGAAAGACTGGGTTTAAACGAGACAATGTCTAAGACTTCTCTGGAAAACTGGCGATTTTGTCACCGCTGCCTAAGGAAGGACTCAAGCCGCCATACATTTAGTGAGCTGTATTCTCTCACGTGCGCATTCACCAAAGAGAGCAAGAGAATTAGCTGAGTGCAGCCTGCTGGAGAGAGAAAAAAAATAGATGAAAACTATTTACAGAGAAGTTCCCAATAGAGTTGTGATAAAAGCAGAAAATTCAGAGAGTTTATTAAGCGGATTCAGGGAAGATTAGAGGCTTTTAAACATGGGTCTGATTGATGTAAAAGTAAACTTTCTTGAAAATACCGAGATTCAGTGCTGCCCGTTACCGCCTAGCACCTTGCTGCAGGAGCCTGCACAGAGGATGCAGATAAACAGAGCTGGACTGAGAGCAGGAAAGGGCGCGGGTGCCCTTGCGACCGACGCACGGCGGGCGGGAGCGCGTCTGTGGACCGCGCGCATGCGGCCCGCGACCCTGCGGGCGGAGGTCGGGGAGGGAGGCCGGGGTTCCCCAGGGGAGCGAGCGCGGAGCGCGAGGAGTAGTTTCCTCCAGATTATCCGGAGCCCGAGAGAAAGCGGTGCTGAAGGGGCAGTGACGAGGCCGGGACCTGAACCCCTTGGCCGCAGAGTTCCGGCTGCAGAATGGGAGGCCCGGAACAGCGGTGACGATCGGGGCCCCACCGCACCCCACCGCACCCCGCTCGCCTCTCCCGCAGTCGCCTGTCGCCGGCCCCATCCCCGTCCCCGCGGAGAGATGGGGACCGGGAGCAGGGTTGGGGCTGGACTGGGTCGGACCTTCAGTCGCGGTTCTCGGGCTTCTGGGCGCCTGGCGTCGCGGCTCGGTGGTTTACGCTTCCAGGTCAACTCCGAGCAGATCTGGAGCGAGGCCCCTCCCGCGGGGGGCGCGGGGACCCCCGTGAATATCGCCTGACCCAGCTCGAGCACCGGGAGCCCGCGCTGGGAGTGCGCCGGCCTCCTCCCACCTGGCCCTCCGCACCGCGGGCTGGCGACTCTGGGTCCCAGCTGTGGGCATGGGGAGGCCTGCACTTACTGTCCCCTCCTGTTTTTTTTAAATCGGGACTGCCCCCTCCGCCCGCCCCGTCGGTGGCTCAGCGCACAGTGCTCACAGCCCCTCCGCAATCCCCGGCACAGGTGAGTCAGCTCCACCGTGCGGCGAGGCTCCCGCACCTCCCAGCTCCCCACATCTCGAGCTTAATAGTTTTTCAGGTCAACCCTTCCAGATAGCGTCTTCTTTCCTGGTAATGTTCGATCCTAATCCGACAGAAATTATTACTGATGTCAGTCAGTGACCGGCTTAGCCCCGACCTGGGCTCAGAAGGAGCAGATGTGGAAAGGCCGGACCCGAGCAAGACAGTAATTTAAAACTTATTCGGAGCCGCGGGCACTGCTGTTTTCCCTAGCGTTGCTTCGTCTCACAGCGATCTGAGGAAGTCCTCTGGGATGACCGACGCCTCCATCACTCATCTATTCGGACAACGAGTCCATCTCGCCCACGGGTCGCAGCTCGGAGGGGTCGCTGCCCCGAACGGCAGGGCCAGGCCCCCCCACCCCCCAGCTTCACGCAGCCCCGCGCCCTACGCCGCCACAGTGTGAGCACCGTAACAGCTTGACTGCAAATCTCGAGGAAAAAATCTCAGCAGGCCAACGTTAAAGCGTTAATTAAGATGAGCCAGGTGCTGGGATGAACACTTCTCTGTCAAATTTGTATCACCTCAACACAAAAAGCCAACACGAAACTAGAATAAGTTATTTTATTACAAGAACAAAACAGACGTGCCAGTTTTATTTCTAATTTTGCCCATATTACAAATGCAAATTATATATTGCCATAAAATGGACATTAACAAACTCCAAAATACTGTGCATAAGTGAAATAAGTTTAACTTGCAAAATTAGGAAGGACATTGAAGTATCTACAGTCATTATAAATAGTGCAAAGTATGTATCATATCAACATCGGGGGTATAAACAAGGCCAGAGGGTGTCATAAGGAACAGTGGAAATATTAACAAGGCCACTCAAATTCAGAGCAGCCAGAAATTTAGTGTTTCTCTTTTTTAAAAAAAAACTGTCGTGCTTCTTCCCAGGCCTGCTGAGGAAATCTGTTAGCCAGTTCAAGGTAGTCTTGGGGACCAAGGCATCTTCCTGAGAGGAGCAAAAAGATTAAACAGTTAAATTAAAAAGCCTTAAATTCTTTGATGTTTAAGAAATTAAATTTATTTTGATAGCTAAGAGTACCAGTTGGAGATATACACTTCTAATAAATCATGCATTTTATGTTAATGAGGTGATTGATCTGTGTCAATACTGAGTTATGGAAAGTATGAAACAGAGAATATGTACTTTAACTACAATCCAGTTTGTGCTTCTCCCATACTCAGGTACCAGCCCGTACGTAAGACATGATGGAAACTGTGTGAGGACCCCGGAGTGGGGGACTCTCCCGGGAAGGGGTCC